GAAACTCACAATGCTTCTGCACAAATCTGACTCCTTAACATTTTAAGATAATGTCAAAGGAGGGAAAAGACTATAGGCCTTAAATTCTCTTTCCCATACAGATTGTTTTCATTTTTCCCCTATATTTACCACCAAACAGAGTACAAGAAGCAGATGGGGAAAGTTTGCATTTCATTATTTTGAACTGAGAAAAATCGCCATCCCATGTAAGAGTCCAAAGAACTGCAGTAAATAAGGAACAATATTTGTCAATCTGCAATTTTCCCTTTCTCTCTGAATTCAAAAAGCAATAAATAGAGACATTCTTGTATAGACCTGCTTATCCAGTTTAGTAAGTGCAGAAAATTTATACAGTTTAGTAAGTGCAGAAAATTTTATAAAAATGATGTGAAGAAAACAGTCAAATAATCCTTTCAACCATCTCTCTATCTCTTTATCTCCATTATGAATGAATATATACATGCAATATAGAAATATCTCTCTCTCTCTCTCTCTCTCTCTCTCTCTCTCTCTCTCTCACACACACACACACACACACACACACACACACACACACACAGAGAGAGAGGGGGGGGCATTAAACTGAATCCCTCTTTTAACACCCTATACATCTCCAGCAAAGCAAGGAAGGCACATGCTCTAGCAGCTAAGGTCACTTAATAATTCTTCTATTCCAAATAATGTTTGATCTTTGGTTTAGAAAAACAAAAGATTGACCCAGTAGAATAACATTTACCCTTTCCTGGGGTTTCCTGGAAGGGGTGAAAGGAGAAAGGAAACAAAACAAAATATAAACACTTCTTTCCTCCTTCCAAATATTTTATTGTTTTTTCCCTCTTTTATTTTCCCCTTCAGATTACCAGGCCAAGGATGTGCGAACATATAAATACATATAAACAGACACCCATTTCCTGAAACCCTGAGAGCTGCTGCATCTTCTAAGGGCACAGATCTGCACAAATTTTTTGTTCTAATACAAGTATCCCAACAGCAAAAAAACAGGCTCTTAGTTTCAAACGGAGATCAGCATCCACACCAGGTCACCGGGCCGAGCTTTAGCTAATCACACTTTTCTGGGCATGAGAAGGCTACTTTCCCAAAAAGTGTTTACAACTTGGGAAATCCTTGTACCGGAAGAAAATGGCCTAAACACAATAGGACTCGCCATTTTCTCCTTGTGAAGCACAAAGCGCTTGGCGCTGCCCGCCACACAAAGAAAGCGTGGGCCCGCGGAATTCTTGCACATTTTCAAGAAGCCAAAAAATACCTTTTCCAAACCACAATTTCTACCACTGGGTATTCTCTGACACACACACACACACACACACACACACACACACACACACACACACACTCTTTCCCACCTTCACTCAGTTACTCCTCACAAGAAGATCCTCTATTTGAAATGTAAATAAAAGACACAGCGCTGCTAGCGAGCGAATTAACCCCCGCAAGACTAAGTCCCTAAAACCCAGGGACCCGGCTTTGGACTCCCTAGGGCTCCATTCTAGATCCAGGAGGGCTCGGATCTCCTCCCAGTTGCTGAGATTCCTGGTTCCAACTCCATCCCGTCTCCCAAGCGCGCCTAATAGCCCAGGAGCTTAGGGATCTCTGTGACCTGATTTCCTTCCAGTGCCAGGAGCCAACCTTGCAGCCCAGAGCTGAGCCAGAGGCTCTCAAAGATGCTCACTACGCGGGAACCCCTCGACTCAGTGCCGGCTCCCGCCGCCCCCCAACCCCCTCCCGCCACTCCAAGTCACCGCATCCTAGGCAGACACTACCCTGTTTTGCACGCCCACAACGGGCGAAACACTTCTGCTCACGTGCGAAATGTGCAAGCTTCGAGGAAGCCCCTGTGAATAAAAACACCAAAACACAAGCAGCGGCCCGACTCACAACGCCAACACTCCCAGCCCATCCGGCAGCGCAGAACCCAGATAATGCTGGAAAAGATAGTACTTACGGCCAGTGCGCGTTTGAGTAATCCGCGTGTCAGCATGTGTGGTTGGTTTGTTTTTTTAAAAATACCTATACGTCTCTATAGATTTGCTTTTATCATCTTCCACCGTTGAGAAGGAACGAAAACAAAAATCTTGTAGTCTAGCGGGGATGGGGGAGGGGGATGGAGATTTTCATTGTCTACGCTCTGCACACGCAGCCCAAGGAAAGACGCTCAGTGCCGTGTGGGGCTCCTTCTACTTTCTGCTTGAAATTCAGAAGCTTTCAACGCAGTAAAGCAGGGGTTTGGTTCCCTCCCTCCCTCTGCGTCTCTCCGTCTCTCTCTCTCTCTCTCTCTCTCTCTCTCTCTCTCTCCTCTTCTTCTTCTCTCCTCTCCCCTCCCTCTCTCTTCTCT